CGTCAGGTCCACTTGGGGGAGCACAAACACGCCGGGCTGCGACGGCCGCTCCCCGCCGGCAGCGACGCCCCGGGCTGGGCCCCTCCTGCCACCCTCCCGCGCCCCGCCCCGCCAGACGCCAGCCTCGGCCCCGCGGGGCCGCCTCCGCCCCGCCCCGGCTCCCAGGACGTCGACAGGCCCCCGCCGGCCCGGCCGCCCTGCCGGCCCCAAGGCTGGCTGGGCGCGGCCTCCTGGCCGCCGCGTGCCCAGGACCCACTCCCAGGTCGGCGGAGGGCAGGCCAAGGAAGGTCGCCCGGGGCCTCCCTACCTCTGGCGGCCTGACAGAACATGCGGCTCATCTTCCGCACGATGGCATCTGTCAGGAAGTCATGGCTGTGGGGTTGGCACGGGTCAGGGGACCAGACCTCGGGGGGCTGCAGCTGCAGCTCTTCACACCTGCGGGAAGGGGACCGGGCAGGGGTGGGACCTTGGCCTTCCCAGAGGGGGGAGCAGCCGCCGAGGGGGGAGAGGGCCCGGGAGGCAGGCGCGCAGGTCCTGGGGAAGCAAGGGGGAGGCGGCCCGGGGCGGGGACGGGAGCCAGGTGCCAGTGGTCGCAGAGGGCGCAGCGTGGGAACACACCGGTTGAAAGTCTCCTTGATGTCCTGGGAACGACAAACAAAAGGGGAGGGGAGGAAACGGGCGAGCGTCAGCGGCACAGGCAGCGGCTTCCCCGTCTCCTGCCGGAGAGAGGCCTGGACTTGCGCGGAAGGGAGAAGCAGCACCCTCGGGGCCCTCAGCGGACGCGTCGCTCTCGGCCCCCCACGCCTCCCCATCCCAGCGCAGCTCCATCCTGCTGTGCGCCCAGGAGCAGCACTGCCACAGCACGGCCCGGCCGCCCTTTCGGGTTGTCACTGCCAAGCTCGGCCCGGCTCTCGCCGAAGCCCCTCCTGCCACTGGACCGTCCTGCTGTGCGTGGGGCGCGTCAGCCACACGCACCCATTCGACACTAACTGTCTGCAGCCTCGAAAACCCCTTTGGTCCTCGGGTGCCGCCACGGTGGGCTCCTCCCAGGGAGAGCAGCACGGCCTGACGAGGCTACGCAGGACCCGGGGAGCGGGCAGGACTGCTC